AGTTTTTGACTTTTAGGACAAAGTGTCAAGTTTTTCACTCCACCATGTACGAATTTAAAATTTTTATGATATGCCAAGTCTTTTCATCTCACTCGTGAGAAAAAAAACTCGCACAGCAACCCTTTGTTGCCTGAGTCGGTAGACTACTTAATCAAGTAATTGAATTGTGAATTCCTGTGTCCAACAAACAATATAACCTTTCCACAACGACCAACATGATCAACTTATTTTTCTTTATATAAATTCCGAATTTCCGACGATACTTAGCCTTGAAAAGGCACCCGTCTCACCGCGACACTTCTTTTTCTTTTCTGCTCCGTTTTACCTCATACGTTCACTGGGCGGGAACGTATTGTAATCGTGAAAAATTTAGAAAATGAGGTATTATTATTTTTGGATACTATATGACATGTACATCACTCATTTTCGTCGGTCTGACAGTCTGTCGGTCTGTTTGTCCACTACCCTTGGACGGCCTATATCCTGGAAAGTACTGCATGGATTTGAATGAAATTTACACGCAAAGTTCCTACTGTGCTAAAGATGATGAAGATGGCATTGCTGGTTGGTGGGTACTGTCGGTCAAGTGGTGGGTTAGATCGCATTGTTGGGCTATTCCTTGGTTTTACATATTCGTAGCGAATGTTTTTCTGAAAGGGGCTAAATTGTACCGAATATAATCCCTTATGAATTGACGACAGATTTACGCACTAAGTGCGGGGTCAACCTTCTTGACGCCACTTTTTTCTTGTACCTGGGTCACTAGACCTAACAGACCTACTGACTTCAACCAAGAGCAAAGGTCCCACGCACCGCACCAACAGACAATGACGAATAGAAGAGTATGGCATTATGATTGCCTTGGCTCAAGAGCGCAAATCAGAGCACATGAGCTGAACGATTGCCGATTGTGAGCAGAAAGCTAGTTCCACATTCGCCTTGGATTGTATCTTTAATAACAGAAGATGGTAGACAAGGACCAGTCGACCGAGGCGGTACCACCCGCTAGCTTTTCCCAGGGTGTCTTATAAATGTCCGCATGTTTCCACACCTACGCTATGCAGTCGGTTATCTTCCAAAACAAAGAAATTAATGACGATGGATCCCTCGAGCACTAAGAAGTCCGGACGTAAACCCACTTCACTCTCGGAATGTCCGGGTGGAGGGTGGGCTCGAGGGAAAAACATCGAAGATAAAATTTGTTTTTCGAACATCTGCGGGATTAACAGCAACATTGATGCTGTTCATCACTTCTTGCAATCCAATCGTCCCGCCGTGCTTTTCTTGGCGGAGACAAAAATCTCCGAGACTGCACCGATTAACCATCTCAACTTCCTGAACTACGAGGTGCACTCCAATCTGAGAAAGAACGGGGGAGTTGTGGCTTTTGTCCGCAGCAGTCTTTCCTGCTCCAGGGATCTGTCTTTGGAATCAGACCGGAAGGACATTCTGTGGCTTCGCCTCAACTCCAAAACATCACCCAAATTTATTTGCTGCCTTTATCGCTCTCCCTCGAACCATAACTGGGATGTCCTACTCGAATACCTCGCCGTCCAGATCGACTTCCTGAACATCAATCACCCCGCTTCAGAGGTAGTTCTTCTCGGTGATTTCAATGCCCATAATGAGCTTTGGTTGGGCTCAAATAAGACCGAGGCAGCAGGTCGTGCAGTCGAAGCGTTCGCTCTTACTCAAGGGCTGACCCAGCTGGTGACGAGCCCTACTTTTTTTCCCCGCGTCTCGTCACACGCCAGTAGCCTGCTGGATCTCTTTCTGACCACGCATCCTGTCCCTTACAGCACTGCTGTCCTGTCCCCTCTGGGTAACTCAGACCACGGTGTTGTGGAGGTTAGGTTTCGGTCAGAAGCTGCTGTGGCAGCAGAAACTCGTTCACTCCGCAAAACTCGACATTACGGACATGCCGACTGTCTGTTCATCCCTGACACAGTGAAAGTTCCTAAACCAGGGTCCAACGGCTGGTTCAACGAATCGTGTGACACTACTCGCCAGCAGAAGATCAAGGCACTCAGAACCTACTTACAAAACCAAACTGTAGAGAACAGATAAGCCCACGTCGGGTCCAGAAACAAATATAACGAAGCGGTTCGCAATGCCAAAAACCAGCACGATATATAAGTTAGGCACAGGGTAATGTCGCAGCGCAATGGCAGTCGGTCTTTCTGGACGCTGGCCAAGCAGATTGTAAAGAAATTCCCACACAGTAGCCTTTCACCACTTACGTGTCAGGATGGAACTATTGTATTCGACTCAAAGACCAAGGCGGAAGTGCTAGCCAAGATCTTTGCTGCCAACTCCACCATGGACGTCCCCACCAACGCCGTCAATTCAAATGGTTCCCCACACTATGCGGGAGGTAACATTCAGGCATAAGATCGTAAGACGAGTGCTCTTGTCGCTCGACATCAACAAAGCTTCTGGTCCGGACTTGATTCCTGCCACTGTACTGAAGAGATATGCAGCGGAGCTTGCTCCAGTTCTTTCGCGTCTCTTCCAGAGATCTTATGAATCCGGCACCGTCCCAGAAAACTGGAAATTTGCTCATATTCAGCACATCCCAAAAAAAGGCCGACCCTTACAACTACAGGCCTATAGCTATGCTTTCTGTTATAAGTAAAGTGATGGAGAGGTGCATAAATCGCGAGCTTCTGGACTACCTCGAACGTCACAGCTTAATTAGCGACAGGCAGTACGGTCTCCGGCACCAGCGATCCACAGGGGACCTCCTAGCTTACGTCACGCAATTGTGGAGTAAACTCATCCAGTCTCATGGTGAGGCTCATGTCGTTGCTCTTGACATCACGAAAGCGTTCGATGAGCTGTGGCACGCTGCCCTCTTAAGCAAACTTCCATCGTATGGCCTCCCAGAACAGCTTTGCAGATGTGTGGCTGACTTTATCTCTGGCCGCAAGATATCCGTCGTACTTGACGGATTCTCCTCTTCATCCCACAACGTCAACGCGGGTGTTCCCCAGGGATCGATCTTGGCTCCGACACTGTTTCTCTTACATATCAACGACCTCCTTTCCTGCACGATCAACCCAATCCACAGCTTCGCCGATGACAGCACTCTACATGCAGGAATTCAGAGTGACAGGCCGATCTCCGCCGCCAAGCTGGAAAAAAGAAGACGAGCGACGACTTCTTCTCTGACAAGAGACCTGGAGGCTATCACTGCTTGCGGACGCAACAATCTTGTACAGTTCAATGCTTCCAAAACACGGTACTGTACTTTGACGAACAAAAAGCGTCCTAGCGCTCATACAGTTTCGATGGACGACCGAGTTCTAACAAAGAGCCATTCATTTCGGCTGGTTGGAGTCCAGATCACCGAGGACCTGATCTGGCACGAACACATTTCGTCAATAGCTGCAGATTCTGGAAAAAAGCTAGGCTATTTGTTTAGGGCTAAGAAGTACTTTTCTCCGCATGACCTTCTCACTCTATACAAGGCCCAGATAAGGCCTAGCCTCGAGTATTGCTCACACATTTGGGGTGCTGCCGCCCCGACTACATTGTCCATGCTCGATGCTGTCCAGAGGAGGGCGGTCCGACTGATCGATGACTCTTCTCTAACAGATAGTCTCGGGACTCTTTCGCACCGGCGGGCTGTCGGCGATCCAGCTCTTTTACTACCGTTACACCAACGGGCTTTGCTCCTCAGAGCTCTCTTCCGTGATGCGCGGCGCGATGTGCCTGCCAGACAGACCCGCCTGACTTCGGCGTCCCATCCTAACCGTGTCAAACTTCGTACATCCAGAACTGGCCGATACGACCGCTCCTTTGTCCCGAGAGTGTCTAAATTGTGGAACAATCGACAAGAGGAAGCTTTTCCCAGTTCTACTAACCTTAGGCAGTTCAAAAATCGTATTAACAAAATTTCTTTGGGATCATCATACCAGCCGCGGTGTTCCGGCATTTAGGCTTCTGCCTGCGCGGCTGTTTCGATATAAAAAAAAATCTTTAAAACTTATGCTGGAACTATTTTTTTAATATTTTAATTAGTAACGAAGACGCATGACAGTTTGCCCAAAGGTAGTTAAGCTTCAAATTTGTCAAGGATCCATGATATCTGTAGGTTATAATCACGTCAATAAACCAGGCGTGCTGCTAAATTATAGCAATGGCGATATAGCGAGTCCAAAGCCATTATATCGTCATGCAAGACGACACATTTTGAGGTGCACCTAATTCTGAAAATCTTTATGACTGCAGCAGCTGCCGTAAAAAATATTGTAATTGGTTTAATATAAGCTCTTTATTTTGAAATAACGCCGAAGATTGTTGCGTACGGTGCTCTGTCAAATGCGCATTATTTTCATTATACCCTACGTACATAGACAATGGCGTAGTGAACTACGTCTTTCAGATGCATTTACAAAACAGTCGGCCTAAGGAGTCCAGGTACTTATGTCCCAAAATTTTTAATGCCTTGCCGGAGCATTATATTAATAGGACGATCGACCAAAAATTTCTATTCAAGAAAACACTCAAGTTATGGATCTCAAATACTCCTAGACAAAGGTATGTTATCTGTGATGATTGTATAGGTCTCATAAAGGTATCGAAGCTGTTGCTGTGATGTCTGTACACTGACTTTGTTTTTTTTACTTTGTCTCTCTTTCTCTCTTTTCATCGATACCGAATTTTAATAACATTATTTTATTTTTTATTATTATATTAGATGAAGATGCCTGTTTTTTATGAAAATGCTTACATTAATCGACCGTGGACGATTTCAACGAATTTATGTGCTTGATTTTATCGTGCATTTTCACCTTACCGATTTTATGACCGATATTGTAAACCGATGTTAATCGAATTGTTTTTAAGTGTGTCAGCTATTTTATAGTAAAATCCACCTGAGTGACTGTTATTTTTCTAAAATTACTAATGGACGTTAAATTAAAAAAAAGAGGTACGCAACATCCGAATCTATAATATACATAGCAGATTAAGGTTTTTCAAGCAGCGGCGGTGGCCGCAGTAGTAGACTATTCGGTCTCCTGATCAGTCGCCGTGCGCTGTGCGGGTTTGAGTCCCGTCCCAGGAGAAATTTTTCTCTTGGCTATGGATGTTGTGATTGTCCGTAGCTGGTAGATGGTCTCTGACTGTCGAACGTGGAGGTACCACCCGGCGGATCTCGTAGGCGGAGCCAGAATGTGTGCATGTTGCATGCACTGTGCATGTTGCATGCACACGTGTTCCCTCGCCAGAGTCCGTATGGCGTTCCCCCTTTCCCCTGTATCCCCCTATAGCCCCACGGTACCCAATAGGTGTTTAGGCCTTAGGCCTTCGTGGTAGTTGGAGTATAAGTATATAAGTATCCGCCTCTAAACACCGAGAAGCTTGATATTTTAAACACTGTGAAGAAACCTTTGGCTCCTCATTATAAGATTAATTGAATAATATGCGTGTCTTATCCTCGAACAGTAGCGTTGAAGCTTACCGTTCATTAAACCTTTCCTTTAGGCAGCAGCGGTGGCCGCAGTAGTAGACTCTTCGGTCTTCTGATCAGTCGCCGTGCGCTGTGCGGGTTCGAATCCCGTCCCAGGAGAAATTTTTCTCTTGGCTATGGATGTTGTGATTGTCCGTAGGTGGTAGACGGTCTCTGACTGTCGAACGCGGAGGCACAACCCGGCGGATCTCGTAGGTGGGGCCAGAATGTGTGCATGTTGCATGCACACGTGTTCCCTCGCCAGAGTCCGTGCGGCGTTCCCCCTTTCCCCTGTATCCCCCTATAGCCCCACGGTACCCAATGGGTGTTTAGGCCTTAGGCCTTCGTGGTAGTTGGAGTATAAAAAAAAAATTGTACAACCCCACGTACAAGCTTGCTTCTGTGGGTTTCCTGTTTGTTTACCATTCTGAACTGTGTACGATTTCATATTCATTTTAAACTATTTTATCGTTTATTTTGGAAAATAAACTTTATTCTATTCTACTTTAACTTTTGTATGAAATGGGGCTAAATTTTACGCACAACATAATTTTCTCTTATATTTATAAACCAGCATTCCATCTTTTTGGTGGCTTCACACTCTCAATAATTGCCTAAAGCATGCGAGTTACATCATCAGCGGGGACACAGGCCTTAAACGACAAATGACTCAATCGTCTTTCACACAATAACTGCCGAAAGCTCGACCAAAGGAAAATGTGGTGTCGGTTGCAATGAATCATCTGGTAACGATGCTTTTCGACTCTGCAAATTAAATATTATAAACTCATTTTCCTATTGATCGTTCGATATAAATCATATGAACAATTTCTTCTGTATCGCATTGTTCCTATCATAATAATACCGAAAGATTGATTTCTTGTGAAACACCTTTTTCAATGATTGATGTTTATAAAATATTTCTATTTCTGACTTTCACTTTAGCGCATTTCAACCCTACATAGCCTGACAGCTAATAGTTCTTGGATTGGTTTCCTATCTTACCTTGTATTTTTGTACCCATTTTTGGATCTAGTTCCAACAACAAGAATTGAGCTCTCTTTTGCTTTCATGTTTCTTTACAGAAAGGGGAAGAGACCAAAAGTACCCATTCTGGTATAAATGGAAGGCATATGGAATATCAGCAAAAACAAAGTGTCCACAACTAATGCTCAAAATACAGTGCAAAGCAAAATTATGCCAAGTCATTGTTTTTATCTAAAGGGTTCCTTATGAACAGTTTTCCGAGAATCAAGTCCCACTTTACATCCCACAGACTCCTTTATGCTCTAGCAAGGTTGTTATGTTTTAATCAAAATGTTTAAAACAACTGTTTTAAACACTGTTTAAAACAATGAAGGTGTTTCAAACCAATTTATTTTAAACTGTTTAAAACATGTTTTAAACACTATGTTTTTGTCGTTTGTGAATTATTCAAGTTTTTTTAATATTTTTTAAGTATGAATAAAATTGATTTTAATTTGCAAAACGAAACTAAAAGTGCCATAGGTTAAAATAGGTACTAAAAAATATAATTTATTTTTTATTAATTATTCAAACATGCAATTAGGGAACTAATAATACTAGTGGAAAAAATGTGTTTCTTAACGAACGAGTGAACTTAATACATTTAAATCTAATACTAGTACTCTACAAGCAGCAGAATAGTCATATAATATGACTATGTATTTACTTGTATAATAACATTAAAGAAGTTACTCAACAAATTTCTGTAAAAGTATACAACCCATCTTATTTAACAAAAAAATGTACATAAAACATATTTTTAGTTTTCACTACTTTTTACGGAGCTCCAAGTACAAAAATGTACCTTTTTCACAATTCTCCAAGCTACTCTACTTTGAGGAAATAGGTTCGGTAGAAACATTATCATTGTCGGTATCAGCACTATCTGATGTATGAATATTTTGTTTTTCTAACAAACTTCCTTGTTTAAGTTGTTTAGAATGTTTTCAAAGGTTGCGCATTCTAGCCACCAGTGACACTATATCCATATTACAGGTTAAACATTTATGCTCGAAGCTTTGGAAGTAAGAGTGCTGTCATTCTCTTGGCTCGTTTTTTGTTTACTTTATTTGATTATAAAAAAACTACTCAGAGCTGCCAGATTATATATTTTTCATGATAAATGGGCTATCGTATCTATATAAACACAATCGTCGCGGAAAACCTGGTTAGAAATTAGTAGGCTGTCATCAAGTGTCATTACATGACCATGAAATGATTAGGCGTTCTCAAAGTAAGGTTAGAGACTGTTCCAGAGTAAAATTTATTCTGCTAATCTACATTAAATTACTGTGTATGGTATTACATTACCAAGTGATTTACAAACGCATCTCAATAACGGAACTGTCCATGTTTACTCATTGCTAGGCAGCAGCGCAACTACCGGTGACATAATAGTGCGGTCAGTTTATTAATATTAGCTTACACTCATAAACTATTCTAAATTTACTTTTAACAATTTGCAGTTACTGTTGGCGCAGCGACTCGTAACCATTCTCTTTTTGCCATAGATACATAATTATGTTGTTACAGGAATTATTAGTCTTGATGATAAATACAATTTATGTTCGTGACTGCTAAAGGAAATAGAGAAAACATTGACATGTATTGTAAAAAATATTTTTATGTTACACCACTGTAACTTCTCAAACAGGAAACGGCACATATACATTTAATAAGCCTCTTAATGAGACGGTTAATTAGCAAGTGGCGAAAAAGATATATCAGGATATAAGGCAGAATGCAGAGACACATTGTTTGTAAGTAACGCGCATAAAATGGAAAAACGCATGCTTGGCTCGTAATTAGAAACGTGATGGCTTTGTTCTGCCGTGAGGTATGTGAACTGCTTTAAGGTCTGTTTGATAATGGTACCTGTCAAACATGAAATAAGCGGCGCTTCAAAAAGCATCTACCTAGTGTCACTCGCACTGTCAAGACAATTCATAACAAAGTCCGTCAAGCAGCTTGGGCTGTAGCATGTGCAATTTTTTATCTACATACATATCCATGGCGAAAAACATAGCTCTCCTTTTGCGGCAGTCGGGTAAAAAATAGGGTCCGAGTTTGGACACTTCTCTCTATACGCACATAAAAATGCTTGCATCATCATAATAATGTTAAATAATAGCTGTAGTGCTTCAAAGATCTGTTGTGGAAAGTGAAGCAGTAAGGTAAACTGGATTAGTATACTATTAAGCCCGGGCCATCTCAAGCTATAATAAGCGACCATCAAGGTAATTATCGTTCAAAAACTGAAATAATAGCCTGCATCTCCATCTGGAGGCTTTCCGAATTATGCAAATGCCTTTAATTCGGATAATTGCTTATTAAGATTCATCAAATTTTCTTTACATATATTAAATTGGCCGCTTATAACGGTCCGGTACACGATTCTGTGAACGTTGTGTGTTACATTTCACATGCATCTACATTCTATTAGTTCTCTTTTCAGCTCACAACCAGCGGTTTGTGGTTATTTCCCGCACTTTATTACGAAGCTATTGTACAGGGTGCGTCATCTATTACTTTTTTTTCTATTTAAAAAATCAACACGCTTTTTACGAGGTGAAATCTAATTTTTTTATTGATAAATGAAGGCTGGTTTATGCCATTTATGTATGAAAAATAACATCAGTCATGTGACCAGCGCGGCTTCGTTAACAGGGCAACATCCGAACATCAAAATTTTCAATGACTTTTCCCAGAATAATCGGGTCTATGGCCGCAATTTCAGTCCGAATATTGCGCTCTAGGTCATGAATTATCCGGGGCAACAAAAAATCCCCAACGAAAATAGTCAAGAGGTGTTAAATCGCACGATCTCGGGGGCTAACTGACATCTGAATGTCGTCTAAACCTAACAGTTTTCGAGATATTTGTTTTTAAAGCATGACATCTTGCGAATGCGTACATTAAATGCATATCAGAATATTCATCAAACATATACATGATGTTTAACAACTTATTGTCAACTGAAAATGATTCATGAAGTTCAAAGCAATATTATGACAAACATTAGAAACCACAGCAACGCTACTCAGATATTATCCAAACTAACTTGGTTATTATGTTATAAAAATATTTTATCAACATGGTACAAATAATGCATTGGAACCTTTAAAAACAAATATAACAAATACGAAAAAATAAGATTTTTCAGTCAGGTGTTGTATACACGGTAGCACAAAAAAGTTATAATAAGTTATTTACCGAAATAGTGCTGTAAGTGGCGCCCTCTAGAAGTTTGGCCATAAAAAATAACCAATTCTTGTATCTCATACTAGAAAACCTCCCGATACCGAGTTTTATGCCAAAATCTGAAATACTTTTCAAGCAATAAGGTAAAATAGAAAATAAAATTGTATCTCGCAAACTATCAACCTTTGGACTGAGGTATGTTTAGGTCAATTCATATATTTTGGTCTCTAGTATCTCCAATTTCCAGATTTACCAACCTTACGCAGACCCATATTATAGTCATCGACGTTGCGAAAGGGAATCAACAATGTTGGGCTTTAACCGTAGACTTGTGAGGTAATTTTCCTTGGATGACCAGTCTTAATCTAAGGTTTGTTGACAAAGTTGTGTACCTAACAACAAAATTACAAAATGCAAAATACTGGAGACAAACCAAATGTTTTGTTGTATACTGAAAAAGACAGGTTCAAACCCTTCAATTACATGAATTTTGAATCTGAGATTTTAGGAGAGTCATACAGGTAGTAATTCTCATTTTAGTGCCAGAAGATTCTATAAAGCACAGAACTCTAAAAAAACTATGAATATCAAATTAATTAAAATAATTCCGAATCTTTGGATCAATATAGCGACAATGATATAATAGCAGGAATTGCCATATTATGCGGAGCTAA